TCCCTATTCATGGAAAACTTCAAAAATAAAGATGGTTTAAAGATGTTTTCAGACAAAGAAAAAAGAGCATATTCATCACCAATGGGTTTTGTTACCAACAGAGCTTCTCTGGAGGACAGACCAAAGGAAATTGTTTAGAAAAAGGGAAAATGGTCCTGAGAGGAAGCATGGAAATTCACAACAGAAAGGCCATGCATGTGGATAAATCTAAGTTAATAACAAGCAAAAAAATAATAATAGTAACAATTATCTCCTGTGAGGTTTAAAATTCATGATAACAACAGAAAAAAGGTGGGAAGAGGTAAATGCAGTTAAAATGTTCTAATTTCCTTGCATTGTCCTGAATGTACTAAAAGTATTCATTTTATATTAGACTTTAATACATCTAGGGTCAACATTTTATTTTCCTGGGGTAACTGCTAAAAGGATTGTAAAAGATTATGTAACTAACAAGTTCAATAGAAGAAAAAATAGAATAATAAAAACAATTCAAAAGAAGGCTTAACAAGGAAAGAAAAAAGGAACACAAAAAGGGTAGAGTAAATAGAAAATGAATAGTGTGTTGATTGCTTTAAACCTAAATGTAATCTAAGTGGGTTATTACATTAAATATTAAAAGAGAAATATGCTAATAAAAATATTAATCTTGTCAAACTGGTTATATGACAGGTTGAAATTTAAAAGATAGAAAAATATGTATTAACACAGCTTCATAATATATAAAGTAAAAATTGACAGAGCCAAAAGGTGAATTTGACAAATCCACAATTGTAGTGGGATATTTTAACACACTTCTCTCAATAATTTATAAAGCTGGCAGACAAAAAGTTCAGTATGAGTATAGAAAATTTGTACAAAATGATTAACAAACTTGACCTAACAGAGCAACTACAGAATAGATATTCTTTTCAATTACATGGGGGAAAATTTACCCAAACCGACCACAGGAGGTAGAATAATGGTCCCCCAAATATGTCTATATTCTGATCCCCAGAACCTGTAAATATGTTATATCACATGGCAAGGGGAAATAAGATTGCAGATGGAATTAAGGCTGCTAATCATATGACCAGGAGATAAGGAGATTAACCTGGATTATCTGGATGGACCCAATGTAATCACAAGATTCCTTAGATGTGAAAGGGAGATTGAAGAGCCAGGGTCAGAGGAATACAGAAAGTCTCTAGAAGCTGGAAAAGGGAAAGAAACAGTCTCACCTATAGCCTCAGGAAGAATGCAGCCCTGGGAACACTTTGCTTTTAGCCAGCCTGGTGAGACCCATCATGTCAGACTTCTGACTCCAGAACTATAAGGTAAATTTATGGGGCGTCTGGGTGGCTCAGTCAGTTAAGCGTCCAACTCTTGATCTCAGCTCAGGTCTTGATCTCAGGGTTGTGAGCTCACACCCCGCATTGGGCTCCGCACTGGGCGTGGAGCCTACTTTAAAAAAAAAAGATAATAAATTTATGTTGTTTAAAGTCACTATTTTTCCAATCTTTGTTACTTGCAGCTGATCCAATTGCTAACTGATTCCAGGGTGTCCCCATCAGCCATATTAAACAGCAGGAGCAGGAGCAGAACATGAAAGGGTGCAGCTGGAATATTGGCTGAATCTTGAGGATTGACAGGAGCTAAGTCTGAAGAAGTAGGGTGAGATCCTATCCACTTCATTCATTCATAAAACATTTACTAAGCACCTACTCTCTGCTAGATCCTGTATGTAACACAGAGCTGTAGAGATGACTAGGACAAGGTTCTTGCTCTCCAGGAGCTCACAGGGGAAGACAGAGAATTAAACCATGGAGAAGAGCAATGACAGGAGTAAGCACAAGAGGAGATGGGAGCACAGAGGTCTCTTTTGGTTGCCAGTGATGGAATCCCAGTGTGTACAACTTAGACCAAACGTGTATGGGCTCATATAGCCAAAAGGAGGAAGGCCAGAGAGAGAATGCGGCCAAGAAGGTATGTGAGCAAAGGTAAGGTGAGAATCAGCTTGGAGGGTGTGGAGAACCATGAGAGCTGGTGTAGCTGGGGTGCAGAGCACAGGGGAAGGAGCAGCAAGAAGAGATGGAGGTGCCCATGGGCCACACCATGGGGAAGCCTCAAATGGCAGGTCATAGCATCTGGATGTCACCTGGCAGGTTATGGGGAACTGTGGAGAAAGGCAAGGAGCTGTTAAAGAGAGGAATGCAGTGGTGAAATTTGGGTTTTAGACACATCACATTGACTGTGACATGGAGAATGGATTGGAGAAGGGCAAGACTGCAGTCAGGGAGTCCTTTTAGAAAGCTGTTGCAATAATACAGATTGGATCATAGTGCTGTACACATGGGGAGTGCCATGAAGACAGCCAGAAGGGGTAATAGAGAAGAGCAATGACAGGAGTAGGCACCAGAGGAGATGGGAGCACAGAGGTCTGTAATCAGGACATGAGAATCAGAATCAGGAGGCTTTTGGTTGACTTGAGTTGGGCGATGACAGGGGGAAATAAGTATGAAGGACACAATTCTCTGGTTTCTGATGGAAGCAACTTGGTGGTGCCATTTATTGAGATGGGGGATACAGGGAAAGCAAGTTGGAGGGAGATGATCAATTCAGTTTGGGATACATTGACATTGAAGGGCTTGTGGGACATTCCGGTGGAGATGGTCAGGAGCAATTGGATATTTAGGTCTGGAGGTCCAGTGAGAAGCCTAATCTGGAGAGAGAAACACAAGAGCCATCAGAATCTAGGACATTGACAATGGAACCATGGGAGTAGATGAGATCCCCAAAGGACAAGACTTAAGAGAGCAATTCTCAACAAGATATGCATGGGGTGGCATAACTCCCTGGGAGGGTTTGGAATCACCAGAGGGGCTTTCCCAAAGCACCAACCTTCAATTTCAATAAATACCCTAGGAAGTGTGACCAAGGGAAACTCTTGCTGATGAGGATGTGACCTAGGGTATAGGAAGAAATTTGAGACCCTTGGTAAGAAGAAAATAGAGTCAAGGTGGGCACAGGGAGCAAAGGAAAAAGGAGCCAGAAAGGAAGAGAGGTTTGAGGAGATCCAGGAGAATGAGGTGCCCCGGATGACAGAGCAGTGACTCTCAACTGTGAGTGTGCACCAGGGGCACTTGTGACAAATACAGATTCCTGCCCTTCTCTATTCTGATGCCATGGGGCCCTAGAATCCGCATTGTAAAGAGTTCTGCAGGCACTATTTCTGGAGTAGAGAATTTCACGAAGACAGGTGTGGTTGACAGGCTTACACCAGCAGAGGTGATGGATCCAGCAAGACAAAGAGCTGTTGGATTCTGCTCTTCAGGAGGTCACCGGTAACCATGGAAGAGGTAATTTCGGTGGTGGCAGCGTGGGTATAGAAGCCAGATTGCAGTGGGCTGAAGACTGAATAGGAGGTGAGAAATAGAAGACAGCAAACGTAGACCCCTTTTAGAAGTTTGGATGAGAGGCGGAGGCGAGAGCTTCATCCCCCTCAAAGGCCAACTTCCATCTCCTGGAGAAACTTGGCAAAGAGGATTGGGGAAATCTGGAGGCTGAGTCAGACATTCCATGGACCTTCAGAACGCACCAGGAAGGCAATTTGGGAATCGGCAAGGGCCGAGCACACCTCAAGCTGCCAAATTGCAAAACCAAACCCACTGTGCCCTCCTTCTGTCTACCCACTCCAAGTGCGTTCCACCATATTCACCGCCCAAGTGATCTTTCCATGACTCACATCTGACTATCTTTCTGCCCTACTTGAAACTGTCCAACAGCTACTTTCCCCACTCTCACCCAAGAGAACAGGAAACACTCCCAGGGAATACCCAAGTACCTGACCTTGGCATTCAAAACCCTTCTGACTCTGGTGATCCCTCCTTCCCTCTGCATCTTCACCCCCCACCCTCTTCACTGTCGCCTCCCACTGTATCACATTCACCTTGAACCCAGGCTTCATGGAGTCACTGGCAGTTCCCCAGTTAACTGTGCTCTCCCACCCTCATTAGCCTACTAGTCGTCTTAGACACAGCAAACTCAAATACCACCTCCTCTGAGAGTTAGTTACTCCCTCCTTGGAAAGAACCAGCACCTTGCCCACACCTGCACCAGAGTACAGGTAGAATAAAGACTTCTTAACTCTTTGTTGACACAGCTGTACCCTCACTGGACTGTGTCTTCTCTGGAACCAAGGTCATCTTACTCTTCTCTGAATGACCAGCATCTGGCCAGGGCTGAGTTCCCAGTAAGTGCCAGTGAACGTGAAGTGGGGTTTCATCATGATAATGTAAATGTTGAAATTATGAAGTCAACCCACTGACCCTTTGATCCACCAATCAAGTAATTGAATCTGCAGGTTCTTCTCTCTTCCCCCCTTTCCCTTTTCCCTAGCTGTACTAATACTTTCGGATTAATTTTCCCTCCTAAATGTAAGAAAAGGCGGGCTCTGGACAACTGTGTCTTTAAATTAGATAGTACAACATCTCCTATGGACTAGGAAGTCATATGAGGATATGCTACAGTGGAAAGAGCACCTGGTTCCACCTCAGGGAGTTTTACTTTGATTCTTTCCTTTAACACGTTTCTTAACCTCTCTGAACCTCAGTGCAGATGGGGTTACGAATACCACTATCTAAAAAAACTGTGAGAATCTAGTGAAATACTCCTTGCAAAGCCTAGTTTTTGTAATGCTAGTTGTTATTAGGCTTCTGAGATCCTAATGAAGTAGTATCTCAGTGGCAGGACACCAACAAATTGCATATATAATTTCAAATGGCTAAAAGAAGCGCCCAAGGTAATACCGCCCTTCAAAGTTTATTTCTCTAAAAGGCAAACTTCTTACCTCCCGGGCTCCTCAGGCCCACTTAAGACGACTATAACTGAAGCTCCGCCTCCCTAGCCTCTAGCCACGCCCTTTTCCTTCCAAGCCTTGCGTTGTAGGGGCCTTTAATATTGATGGACACTTTTATTCACCAATAAAAAGTGAAATTCCCGTTAACGTCCGGTGAGGGGGCAGGACTTCCTTGTTGTTGCTAAGACACTCTTGTTTCGCTCCTTGACAACCCTGGCGGGGGTGCGCTAGCTGCGGCCCCGGCTCCGGCCCCCGCGGGAGCAGGTGAGGCCCCGGGGTGCGGCGGGCAGCCGGGCGGGGAGGGCCGGCCCGAAGCGGGGCCGAGAGGCGTCGCAGGGCGGGTGGGGCCTCGCCCAACGCGGAGGCCCCACCTCGTCTCCTGCGTGCTGGTCCCCAGCCCCAGGTCCTCCCAACCCCCACACTTCGGGGACCTGCGAACTCGGCCGTGACAGATTAGCGGTGGCGACTCTGCGGGCTGCTCCTTCCCGCACACACCCGTCCTGCTGCGCGGTCCCCCATCCTCCTCGACCCGACTCCCCCAAGGACCTTGATTACCCCCCTCCCCGCAACGTTTCGCGGAGTAATTCCCCACTCCCGCGGCTGGACGGGTGGTCGCCATCGCCTTGGCCCAAACCGCTTGACTTGGACAGTTGGTGACGTGCTAGGATTCCAGGCTGGTCAGCTCCTTCTTTGGGCCTCAGTTTCCCCATCTGTAAATAGAAGTTGGGTTGAATAATCTCTAAGGCCTCTTCGACTCTGCCGTTCTAGGATGTGATTCTTTGACCCAGCTATAGGCTTCCCTGAGGATGTACCCATGGGAGTTCCCGGGTGTAGTGAAAAGAACTTGGCAAACCTAATTTGGATTCTCAATTACGGGACCTTAGCAAGTTATCTAACCTCCCTGGGCTCCAGTCTGAGTGTATATGAAATCAGGATACAATAGGGCATCTCCTTGGGGGAATTCTGAGGATAATAGGAATTGAAGTATGAAGAGTCTAGTTCAGTGTGGATTTAGTATTTGTTACTGCCCTTCCTCTGTCTCTTACTTCCCCACGCTCTCCCCCTCTGAGAAGTGTCACCAGTGCCTTTGGTGTCAGCCATCATTTCTTCATGTGACCCTCAAATCCAGATCTGCTCTGATCTTTCTCCTGGGCTTCCACGGTTAGGGATGCTTTGGGGCGGGGGTGAGGGTAGCGTGAGTTATTATTGCTCTGGTGGTTGAACTCAGTAGCTTTCCGTCTGTGCCCAATGATTTGGTGATAACCTCCTGACAAGACACCTCCATTTTTTTTTTTAAAGATTTTTATTTATTTGACAGAGAGAGACACAGCGAGAGAGGGAACACAAGCAGGGGGAGTGGGAGAGGGAGAAGCAGGCTTCCCGAGGAGCAGGGAGCCCGGGGCTCAATCCCAGGACCCTGGGCAGAAGCTTAACGACTTAGCCACCCAGGTGCCCCAAGACATCTCCATTTGCATGTCTCACCAGCCACTTAAACTCAGTAGTTCTAAAATCAAACTGGCTCACTTCTTTACCTGTCCCTCCGTTCTACCTGACTTGCCCTGTCTTTCTCAGTGGCGTGGCCGTCCTCCCTCGCTCTGCTATGCCCCTCGCACTCAGGCGGTTGTCACTTTCCTTTGATTCTGCCTCCTTGAGGCCCTTACATCTGCTCCATTCCTGAAGCTACCATCTTGGCTCAAGTCTTTAATGCCTGTCACCTGAGCCAGTGCTCTAGCTTCCTAACTGGTGTCCCAACCTCCAGTCTTTTCTGTTTACCCAGCCCACCAGAATAATTATCTGAAAACAATGCAGTGTCACCAACCCCCAAGAGACCTCCCAAGGGCTTCTCATTTCCCACTAAAAAGATCCACACTTCTCAAGCCTAGATTTTAGAGCCCTTCTGTACTTCCACAGCCCAACCCCAGCATTTTTTCCCAGCCTTCTCTTTCCCTTCTCCTGTGCCAGGTTCTGTCCTTTAGCCAAATTGGACCGTTGGACTTTCCCAGAAAATGCCTTGAGCTTTCTGCTTGGATATCACTGTGTTTGTTCATCTCTCTGTCCAGTAGGTCTTCCTCACCTAGTCCACTTGCCAGGATTCCCACTCAAATTCTGCCCCCATCACCAACCTTTTCTTGCTGTCCTCTCCCCTGCCCCTTCTAAAATTCTCCTCCTCCCTCTGTCTGCATCTGCCTTGTGGCACGTACTGCGTTCTGCCATGATCCATAGTTAGTTCCTTGTGTGTCTTGGTCTTTAAGATTGTAAGCTCCTTGAAAGCAGAGACTGTCTCTTGCTTATAGTGGAGTCGTTGAAAAGGCATAATCTTGGGCGCCTGGGTGGCTCAGTTGTTAAGCGTCTGCCTTCGGCTCAGGTCATGATCCCAGGGTCCTGGGATCGAGCCCTGCATCTGGCTCCCTGCTGAGCGGGAAGCCTGCTTCTCCCTCTCCCACTCCCCCTGCTTGTGTTCCCTCTCTCGCTGTGTCTCTCTGTCAAATAAATAAATAAAATCTTTAAAAAAAAAAAAAGGCATAATCTTGAAGTCCTATATACCTGAGGGAATCCTAGCTCCTCCATTTGTTAGCTGGGTAGAATGTCACTTTCTTTTCTCAGCCATCATGGTCATCAGAAAATTAAGGATTAAATAGCACCTGTCTAACAGAGTTATTGGGGGTGGTGGACAGTAAATAAGATCCTGTATGTAGGACACCCATCCTGTTGCCTTGCTCAAGGTCAGTGTTCAATAAATATTTAATGGATTTGATAGATCCTCTCCCTTCCCAGGGGGCAAATGAAATATAATTTAACCACAATATAGATATCTGATGGGCTTCTGCCATGTGCCAGACACTGGTCTTTGCGCTCTGGGGCATCTACAGGAGAATAGTTAAGTCCTTCAGCCTCAGGTGATTGATTGGCTGGATTCACGACACACTGCTAAGTCGTGACTGGTTATGAGATGTCACCAGTAATGAGCAATTGTGAATGATAAAAACCATAATCAGTGCTAACTCCAATTTATTTCTGTAATAATGTCATTCTTAGTCCCTTACATTCAAATCTGTTCTCTTGAGTGGGAAAGGGGGGGGTGGGAAACTGCGTAATTCACTGTCTGTGGGAAGCATCTGTTCTTGTGTAGAGCTAATAGCTGTGATGATTATGACTTTTTGCTGTACTTTGTAGCTTGACAAACATGTTTGGTATTTCATCCAAATTTGGGTATGTTGGTGAGGGGGTACCACGTGAGTCAATATTGTTTATTATATCAGGTTACACATAAAGAAAATGTCTTGATCTCTTCATCTCTCCATCTCTCTTCCTCCTTTGTCTTCCCTCCCTCTGCTTAGTCTAAGGCACAGCAAAAGTGTTCACTGGACCTCAGTAAAATGAAAAAAAAATAAGGGCAGTGTTAAAAACACCACCAACAGCAGCAACTTCCTGTGTGTGTGTGTGTGCGCGCCCGCGTGCACACACATGTGCGCACATGCATGCATGCGTGTGTGAAAGGTAACAGTCTTTTCCGAGGACTTTTATTCTGCAACCATCTCCTTCTAACTATTAAAACCTTCCCTTATAATAGATAATGTATTTAATGCTCTTGCTTAGCATAATTTAAAAACGCAGTCCTGCGTTTGCTTCCCCCTTTCCAAGCTGATCTGTGAAATCCAGATCTTCCGTGGTGTTTCCTGACCTCACCACCGTCTTGGATGAATGGCCCCAGGCCCTTAGGCTCCTCTCTCCTCCCCTTGCCGGCTTTGCTCTGTGTTTGCCAGAAGGCAGAGGGTAGACGTGGCCGGGAAAGGTGGGAGGATGACCGAGGTACACAAGTATGTATCCTGGACATGGCTGGAAGCAGGTGTGCCTGGACAGGTGGCTGGACTGGGAGATGCTGAGAATTGAAGCTATTTGCATTTCTGTCTGTCTCCTACTTGCTTGTGACTGGGGAAAAGGCCTAGAAGGTAGAATTAGAAGAGTAGGTGTGGGTTTGGATCCCGGCTCTGTCATTGCTGGCTGTGTACCTTTGGGCGAGCCCCAAAACCTCTCTGAAACCAGGTGCCTCATCTGAGAACAGGGAGTGGATGCTGCCCCCACAGGTTGTTATGGGGTGAGATGAAACAACGAAGGTGAAAACCCACCGTGCCCACACCACTAACGCTGGCCCCAACTTGGTCTACAGAATTTCCTTGGGGCTTTCATCCATCCATGCTAATACCGTGGTTTGCAGAGTGACAACTCAGTAAGTATTGGTTGGTTTGGCTGAATGTTTAGTGAGCTGGCATATGAAGAAAGACATTGCAGGTCCCCCTCCGAGTGCACCAGTAACAAGAGCTGACATTTACTGTGAGGTAGTCTATGCTCTATCCCAATTTCCAGATGAGAAAACTAAAGCTTAGAGAGAGAAACATTTGTCTGAGACTTGAGATGTGAACTTGGACCTGCCTGTGGAGCCAGCACCCAACCACCGCCCCTTCCTGCTCTGAGTGTGTCCTCCCATCTCTCGGATCCTGGGGCTGGTTACCAGGGGCGCCCCGAGGTCCACAGGCCAGGAGGGTTCTGGGCATTGAGTGGCTGGGGGCACCCCCAGAGGACTGGCAGACACTTTGGGCCTTATTTCCCAGAATTCCTTCATTTCTCCCCCATCCTCTAGCCCTCTTCAGGATTCTTCCGAAATGCTTCAGAAGCAAAACAATACCTTGTGACTGAGGTCAGTGTCACAGAAGAACAAGGCCCAGATAGCAGGACAGGGGCACTGGCTGTTCCAAGGCGATGACAGGAAGAGCCCTGTCTGTGCCCCCTGTTGCCTGGGGGAAGCCTCGCAGCAGACACGGGCGAGGCTGGGTAAAGCTCGCGGAGGCGCCCTTGGGCGGAGGGAGGGCGCGGCTGCCACCAGCTTGGTGCACCAGGACATCCTGGAACTGGTACCCAAGAGATTCAACGACCCTGGCCGTGCTCACACTTGCATTATTAAAGGGCTCTCTTTTAGGCCTGATGGGACTTCTTTCTGGCCTGGAGCTATCAGGCACACGCTCATTTGCATGGAAGATTGATAAGGTTATTTAAAACCTCTGGGTCTGCTATTTTTGGTAGCGTTCTTCCAGCCGGGTTCTAAATCACGGCTGAATGACTATAGCTGGACTATAACGATACAGCATCATAAAAGATTCTCCTGCCTTTCTGTATTTGGAAGCACATCATCTGTAACTGTTCCTTTTTATTCTCTAAGTCTCATCCCTTTTGGATCCCCAGAAGTACAGGTAGTGGTTAGGAAGAGCCATTTGCACCTGTGGTCCTTAATCAGCGTGCTTGAGTAATGTTGAAGCCCTGGCTAGTGGCAGGCAGCAGCGCAGTGAGAACCGTGTGCAGGGTTTTGCCATTTCCTAATGCTCACAGGCCTCTAATTGGTGCTCGTGGTGGATCTCTAAGAACGAGAAGATGGGTTTCTCCCATTTCACAGAGGAGGAAACCAAGGCTCAGGTGCAATTACTTGCCCAAGGCTACAAAGCAAGGGAGAGAGTAGAATTCACTTTGGTTATAGAACAGGCATTCAAGCCTAAATACTCTGCCTCATGGGTCTCCACAACCCCCCCTCCAAAAAATACCTGTCCCCGTGGCTCTTCCCCCTTTGTTCCTAAAGGATGGACTTTGGTAATACCTCTGGCCTCTTGAGTCCTGTTTCATCAGGATTCCATATTCTCGGGTCCACAGACTCTGAGCAGCCACAGCCCCTGCCCTCCCCCAGGGCAGGCATGTACACGCTCGCCTCTGGATTCTCTTCCAGGCCACTCCAGGCCAGCACTTGTGAGCCCCGAGGAGGAATTGGATCGAATTGAAATATTTAGGAGGAAGAGGCCCCAGCAGCTGCTGAGGGGGACCCAGTGTTCAGCATTTTCAGCTGAAAATCTGGGGAGGTCAACAAACCTTAAAGCCCTTAGCCTTTGATCATCACACCTGGATAATGTGGAGGGGGTGGCAAGCAAGTGGCCTTGGTGAAAACCGGGAGGACAGGATGGAATTGGAGATTGGCCTTCACATTAATGAGCAAAGACCAAAGGATTCATTGGATTTTGTGAAATAAGAAACACGAGCAGAAAGTACAGTGAGGTGGTGCCTGGTCGTTTGCCGGCTTCCACGTAGAGACAAAAATCCCTAATATCCGAGTGCTCCAGATGCCCAGACTTGACGAGCTAAGAGGAGCCGTGTGGAAATCAGGTGGTGGAGGCAGGCTCCAGCCTTGTGCGAGGGAGCCCACCCAATGCGGGGCGGGGGGTGGGCTGCAGAAGGCTTCTGAGGCATCAGAGAGAGGGAGAAAATGGAGGGCACGGCCCGGAAAAAGTGCACAGAAAGTTCAGCGCTCGGCCACACGGGGGTTGAGTTCACGTCAGAACGGTGGTCACGACAGGCCAGACATCAGACGTGTACTTCACAGGTGGCAGCTGGCTGGAGGCCGGTTTCGTGGGAGCCTCCCGTGCGTCGGCGCTGTGAGGAGGGCCCACGCCGGACACCAGCCCTGCTGCTCACCAGCTGAGGCCTCGGGCTGACAAAGTAACGGCTTCAGGCCTCCCCACGGGGTCGCTGCAGCAGCAGGGCCCTAGGGACCGGAAACCTAGCAGATGCCACTTGTCGTCACTGCCCGTTAGTTACTCTGCTAGGCGTCTTCCGGCTTTAGTGGCTGTGCCATGAAACAAACCTATTTGGAACTATGAGACATGCTGGAGGAACGTTATCGGGTTGTATTTGTCCAGCACGGATGGTTAAACAGGGTTCATAGCACGGTGGTTTGTATGCATTTAGATCAGCACTTCTTTTTTTTTAATTTATTTTTGAGAGAGAGAGCACTTGAGCAGGAGCCGGGGGGACAGGCAGAGGGAGAAGCAGACTCCCCACTGAGCAGGGAGCCCGATGCGGGACTCGATCCCGGGACCCTGGGATCATGACCTGGGCCGAAGGCAGATGCTTAATGGACTGAGCCACCCAGGTGCCCTAGATCAGTACTTCTTCTGAGATGAAAAAGTCCTTTGAATTACAGGATAAATTGAATTGTAGAATAACGAGAGACACCAGGATTTCTAGCAATGCTCCCAGACATTTAGGATCCAGGCTCATCTCTTTAGGAAAAGTCCCATCTGTTATATATAACTAGATCTGAAAAGAAAAAAATCCAAACATATGTATTAGGCTTTATACCTTTCTGTTCATATGCACGCACATTCTCTCATGTATGTGGCCACGTGCCGGGCCCTGTGTTAGCCGCTTTACATACATTGTCTCATCTGATCTCTTACAGCCCCAAGAGATAGATGGGACTTCCCCCCGTGTTACTGATGAGGCATCTGAGGCCCAAGGCCACGCTGCTGGTGAACAGTAGAACCAGCACTAATGCCCAGGCCTTACACCCTCTGACCAGCCAGATGGGACAGGGAGGTCGAAGCTGGGAGCCGGGCACGCCCAGGAGGACACGGAGCATCGCTGCTCCCGTTCCTTCCATAGATCGGGGACCTGTGGAAGGAGGTACTTGCTTGTCCATAAGCCCAGGATTATCAATCTTGACCTTGACATTTAACTTTCTAGCCACGTGTGCGGGGAAGTAAGGGCCACGCACATTAGTGTTCCTGCAGGGTTGCTGCGTTTGTTAATTGCCGGCTCAAGCTCCACCCTCGGCCTGGCCCGCCATCGTCGGTATTTGTCTTGATAATGACAGTGCGAGCTTACAGCAGCATACCAGTGTGTTCTTACCGGTCCCAGCAGCTCGTGTTGACTCATCCTCCCGTCTGTAGACTTGCTGGCCATTTGGAAAAGGATGTGGAGGAGTTAAGACGGGGAGGTGTCACACTGTCAGTGAGACATTTCTAATTTGTGATGTATAGGTTTAAAGCCAACTCTTTCTCCTGGTTTTTCCTGTTTTCTACAGCACCCCTTGGGGAAAGACATTTTCTGCTCCCACCCAGTTGGCAGGGCCTGCTTCCGAAACCTCCCAGGGTGTCTTCACTGCCTGCCAGCGCCTCCTGAAAGCCCCACTCTCTCCCTCCAGTGGCCACAGTGGAAGGATCATGGGAGAAACAGAAGGGAAGAAAGAGGAGGCTGATTATAAGCGACTGCAGACCTTCCCTCTGGTCAGGGTAAGCCGCAGGGGACGGAGGCAGGGCGGCCAGCAGGAGCTCGTTCCCTGCAGGACAGCAGGAGGAGGAAGTGAGGGGCTCTGCGGGCTCAGATCTAGAGGTCTGGGAGTCGACAGCGCTTCAGTCCATCATCCATTCTTTCATTCGACAAGTCTTTCATTCGACAAGTCTTTCCTTAGGCCACCTACTACGTGTTGGGCACTGTTCTAGGCACTGTGGACGTAGCAGTGAACAACAGAGGCCCGGGCCACATGAAAGAGAGGCTTAAGGAACATAACTCAGGTAATTAGTGCTATAAAGAAAAATAAAGCAGGTGTATGGGGCTAGAGAGGAGAGGTTAGCTTCTGGAAAGAGTTCTCTGATCTCTGACTTGAATAAAGTTGGGGAGATAGCCTTGTGGATGTCTGGGGAAGAACATTTGAAGCAGGGGAAACGGCGAGCACAGAAAACCCGAGATGGGAGTGAGCTCCGAGTTTTGGAGGAACAGAAAGATCGGAGTGCGGAGATGGGTGGCGGGACGTGAGGGCCAGAGTGACAGCCAGCCAGACCTCACAGGCGGGCCAGCCACCCCGACAGACATGGTGACAAACAAGGATTCTGTCCTGAGTTCAAAGGCAAACAGTGGATGTTTTAAACAGAGGAGTAATGTGATCCATTTGATGTTTCTAAAAGCTCACTCCAGCTGTTGTAAGGAGAATGGATTTTAGGGGACCAGAGTGGAAGTGGGGAGACCAATGAGGATGCTACTTCAGGGGCCCAGAGAGATGAAGGGGTGGCTGGGTCCAGGTCATGGCATGGAGGTAGACATGGTCACACTCAGGACAGATCTTGAAGGTCAAGACAGTAGAACTCACTGGTGCCTTGGGTGCCAGGTACAAGGGCACACGATAGTCAAGATAACTCCCAGGGTTGGTTTTTTCCAGAACTTAGGAGAGAAAATGGAAGGAAGTTGGAGGAAGAGCAGGCTTGTGGGGAAAGTCGAGTTATCTTTTGGACATCTCAGTGAGCTTGTCAAGTAGACGGTTGCATGTAGGAGTCTGGAGCCCCCAAAAGAGGTTATAACTGGGACTGAAAATGTGGGAGCCCTCCCCGTGTAGAAGATAGATCCACAGGACGGGCTGGGATCTGCTGGAGAGGAGATTGCTGGAGAAGCCAGAGGGCGGAGACGAAGCCCAGGACCACCCTGCAGTCGGGCGGTGCCAGCAAAGTGGACGAGAAAGAGCAGCCAGAGACGGGAAAAGCCAGGAGCCATCGAGAGCGGCTGAGCTGTCTCTCCAGGCTTTTGGGGTGACATCCAGCTGTGTTCTGCGGCCGCTTCTAAACTGTTTCCGTAACCGGCATCCTCTCCTGCCCGGGCCAGCCTGCTTCCCCGGGGCTGCTGGCTGGAACGCGATGCTGATGAAGCTTCGTGCCCTTGCAGGGGGGCCCGGGTGTGAGAGCCTGCTTGGTTCCACTGGATTCCACGCCCCGAGTCCGGAGATGAGTCACCTCTCTGGGCTGCACCAGAGCAGCTCCCCAGTGTCCGTGCCTTAAGCTTGGAACAGAGAGGCCAGCCCAAAAGGCCGGGTCACAGGCTAAGCCTCTCTCTGTTTGTCCCCCTGCCCTGTCTCTAGCACTCGGACATGCCAGAGGAGATGCGAGTGGAGACCATGGAGCTATGTGTCACGGCCTGTGAGAAATTCTCCAACAACAACGAGGTATTGCCATCAGCAGAGGTGGCCTCTTGTGCCTTTGGTGACCCCCGTGGGTGAACCAGGCGGCCCCCATCCCACATCCAGCTCCAGAGAGTCCTGCTGGGACGACTAGCGCCTTCCTTGGAAGCGTTCGAAGCCCGAGGAAGGCCAGGAAGAGAAGGGGCTGGTGCTGTCTCCGGGCACTGGTCTGCTGGTCGCGCCCAGCCCTGGAGGGCCCTCCGTGCCACCGCTGCCTCTGTTCCCTGTCTCAGGTGGCCTGCCCAATAGGCTACCTTTCCCCTTGGCTCCATCCCAGGGGAGAACAGGGCCCGGCCAGGCATTCATTCATGTATCCATTCATCCGTTCAGAAAAGATGCGAAATGCCATCTCTCGGGCCAGTCGCTGTTCTAGGTGCTGGGGCCGCGGCCAGTAGGCACTGACGCAGGAACGTCATTCATCAGTCTGGTGACGAGGGAGAAAGTCAGTAACGTGGCAGCCAGTGGGGAGGCAGACCCTGGCCGGCGAGAGCCTGGGCTTTGGGCCAACGAGACCCAAGTTCAAATGCTGTCTCCAGCCCTCGCTAGCTCTTTAACCTTGGACAAGCCATTTCCCGTCTCAGAGCCCCGGTGTCCCGGTCTGTAGTGGGGAGTCAGGTGCTGCGTCCTCGCTGGGCGCTGGTGAGGACGTGTGTGCTGAGGCGGTCCGGGCCAGCCGCCTGGCACGCTCGTGGTGCTCAGCACGCACCTGAGTGTGGGACTCACCCTCCAAGGCTGGGTCCCCTGCCCCTCCCTAGACTTCTTCGAAAAGGCCAGCACAGGAAGGAGTGGGGGCTGTTGCCCTAACTGAGGGAAGCAGTCCAGCTTCTCTTCCGGGAGCCCCCCAAACCCATTAGGGAAAAGCCTTTCTGTCCCCTGAAGATAAAGCTGACAGCTCGCGGTGAGGATAACCGCAAAGGGTCTGCGGACTGCTGTCGGGCGCGTCGCTGCGCGTCACTGCGGCCCGAGCACCGCCTGGCGCTGCGAGCGCCAGGGACACGCTAAGTGGCAGGGCCAGAGCTCGGACCCGGATCTGCTGCCCCCCCCCGTCGGTATCTTCTGGACAGCTGGGGTCACATCTGTCCTTCCATCCCTGTGTACTAGCCCCCTGGCAGCGTGGGGGGGGGGTGGGGGGCAGTGTGGAAACCCTTCCTGAAGGTTCCGGGAGCAGGAGAACAACAGGAGGGCAACAGGCTCCTCTCTTGCCAAGATTCCCAGAGAGGGGGTTGACTCGTGCGCCCTCTCTCCCCACCTGACGAGCGTCCTCTTCTTCCCAGAGCGCTGCCAAGATGATCAAGGAGACAATGGATAAGAAGTTCGGCTCCTCCTGGCACGTGGTCATCGGCGAGGGCTTTGGGTTTGAGATCACACATGAGGTGAAGAACCTCCTGTACCTGTACTTCGGGGGGACCCTGGCTGTGTGTGTCTGGAAGTGCTCCTGACGCCGTCCCCACCCCGGCCCCGGCCCCGCAGGGCCTCTTCCTGCCACCCCTCGGGGCTGGGGAGCAGCCCCAGGCAGGTCGTGGTGTGTCAGAGGAGAGTCTGGGGTCTTTCCTTTGGCCCTTTGCTACGAGTCTCTGAGCCATGCCCAGTGTGTGAGCGTGTGGACCCGTCTTCCCCCAGGCCCCCAGCGTGTGAACGGGAGAGCAGGCTGTGGTCTCGATGCAGGGGAGGGGTGGGAAATGTGACAGGGTAGGAGGGTGGGAAGGTGGTATTCTTCTCCCCAGGACATGCCAGCCCCAAGGCTGCTGTCCCCTTGCCTCCCGGGAGCCCCCTGCCCGACCACTCCCAGGACTGCTGGCAGGGGTCCACTGTCCTGGTCTTCAGTGACCGTAGGCAGATGGCCCCACGAGGAGCCTGTCCTCTCAGGGGACACTGGCAGCGTCTCCCCTTGTCCTCTGGAGAAGTGGTGGCCCCCTCCGGAAGCCCCTTCCCCGGTCGGATCCCAGGCTGAACAAACCACTGCATCTCATTGGGCCAATCGCTCCCTAGTCCCCAGCTTTGGTGTGAGGACCCTGCAGCCTTCCCCCCGCCCCCACCTCTGGCCACATGAACCTTTTGTACCGCCTCCACCCCGCGCACTCAGTACCCCGGGCAGAGGGGGTGGGCGTCACTGAGCCTCCGGCGAGGCTCCCGGGCCAGGAGTGCACTCACCACGAGGCCTGTTTCGGCAGGGAATCCTGGCCTGCCGGCCACTGCTCATCAGGGACCGCATGCTAATTTGTACTTCTTATCTCTGCTGGGTTTTCTATATTCTTTTTTGAGCGTGGGGAGAAGGGTTTTAGTAGAAGGGCGAATCCTATTTTACACAGCGGTCTTATTTATATAAATGTCTTGGTTTTTACAATTAAAGTGACCAAAAACGGACCTCGATCTACAGCCTCTTGAGGTTTCGGGGGGGGGAGGGGCAGGGGGGAAGGGAGGATGGGCTCAGGATCCCCAGGCTGTGGTGGGTCCCGGAGCCCAGGGAGTCTTCTGGCTGAATGGCAAGGCTGCTGGAACCTGGGCCCAGGCACAGCCCCGCTCGCCCGGGCCCTGCCCCCTCACCAGTGCGTCCCGGGGAGGGGCTGCAGGCCGTTGCTGGGTCCACGCGGACACCGACTGAGACACCCTCGGTGGCCAGACTGAGGTGCCATAGCCATAAAGATGCTTTCAGCCTCACATAATGGAGTTTTAGTTCGAAGGTGTTCATTCAACGGCTGTTGAGGGCCAGGCCCCGGGGGCAGGGACACAAAGATGGAAAAGCCACAGACCCTGCCCTTCGTGCGCTCACGGTCTGGTGAGGTCTGGTGCGGAGGAACATTTGACCCCAGTTGTTTCAGCTGGACAGGAAAAGTGATGTGACCAAAGATAGGCCAGGGCCCTCCAGGAGGAGGAAGGGGTGCCTCCATGCCCAGCCGGGGCAATGGGGGTGGCCTCTGATGGCTGAGGCATGAAAGCAGCTCTTGAATGGGGAGGGGGCTTCCCTGGGGGAGGGGCTGCCCCAGGCCAAGAGGCAGTGGGAGTAAAGATTCAGTAGGCAGAAGTGAGTTGGGGATGAGGGGGGCACACTGTGCGACTGTGAAGCCCCTTCCGCTCAGGGGCTGGCCGCTCAATTCAAGTCTCAGACCCTAAAATGCTGGGCAGAGCTGGGGCAGTCTGTCCTTCCCCGCAGCCTACGTGCCCCCTGCCCACGGGGCCTTCCTGAGATGGCCCACCTAGGACACTCAGGCCAGGGAGTCCCGGCGCCTGGCCCAGCTGCCACCGCGCCCTTCCAAGGCTGAGTCCAGTTGTAACCCGATGTGTCAATAGGTGTCCTGGATGGCGTGGCTTCAGGCCACTCGGGTGCGCTCAAAGACCAGTGCGCCTGCGCAGGGAGACTGGCGCCGTCGGGTCCCTCGTGGACGTAAGTGCTTGCTGAGTTGGTGCCCTGCGGGGTCCTGACCTGAGTGCAGTGGGGCGCACAAGAACTGGAAGTCGAGGTCCCCCCAAAGGCCTGGAGGGGGGACTGGACTCTCCTCAAGGCTGGAGAGACTGGGGGCACACAGAGAGGAGTGACAGGAGAGGGGGCGCCGAGGCCTGGAATAGCTATGGTTTATTAACCGCCTGCTTTGCTTCTGTTCTCTCCTTTAATCTGCCACCCAAGGCTGCGAAACAGGGAGGCTGGCTCAGCCTGCAAGCGAGGTGGCGGGGGCGGCATCGGGGAGCGTGGGCTTCTGAGCTCCTCCGATCTGGCTCAGGCCCGGCCCTGCTCTTCCTAACCTCTCTGTGCCTCGGTTGCTTTGTCTGCAGAATGGGCATAAGAAGCACCAGGCTCCTGAGGTCGTTGGGAGTCTCTGGGCCTGCCTCTGGAGCAGGTGACGCCCCGGGGCTGTGCTGTCAACGTCTTCCCAGCTGACACCCAGCCCTTCAGGATGGGGTGGAGCCTCGGCGAGATGGGGCTAGCAAGGGGCTGGCCCGCACAGGCCTGTGATACAGTGGGGCTCCTTGGGTCCAGGCAGAGGACCCCCTCCCCGCTTGCCGCCCCGCTCCCGCTCCCGCTCCCACCGAAGGTCTAGTCACTGTCGGGCCAGGTCAGGTGACCGGGCACCATGGCAGCTGTGTCTCCGCCGGCATGGCCACCCCGACCTTCCCCACAGGGCCCTCCCCACTCCTGGCCAGTGGCTCAACCAGCATCCGTGGACAGGAGCTGCAGAGGAGAGGGAGATAATGAAGGACGCAGCATCCTTGGCAGTGAATGGCTTGAGGTCTGTGGAGGAGGACAGACCCAGAAGAGAAAAGCAGACGCTTTGAAGTCATCCACGAGGAGGAGAGAGGGGGCAGGGTTCACGGAAATGTGGGGTTCAGAGAAGGAGCAACTCACTGCCCAGGGCACGGGGTGGGGAAGCTTCCAGAGGAGGTGGCATTGAGCTAGGCCCTGGCATTTTCCAGGGGTGGGGAGGCAGGGGCAAGGTGCCATCGGCTGAAGGAGCAGCATGTAGCTACACGGGGGCCCGAGGACACTGCTGAGATGCTCTGGGAAGTGGGGCAGTTGGACTGGAGTTGACCAAAGGGCAAGAGGGGAAGGGAGCGGGCTGAAGGTGAAGGCTTTGCTGGGGTTGAGAAGGAAGAAAATGCCGTCTGTTGAGTGTGTCCCACTTGGCAGGCACCGGGCTCCCTCCCTCATGACCATGATGTCCTGTGTCCTCAGCAGACCTCCCAGGCGGTAGTCACTGTCCCCGTTTACAGATGAGGAATCTGAGGTTGGGGAGGATGAGCTGTCTTGCCCAGGGTCCAGCGGGGAAGCCACTAGCCAGAACCTGAGCCTCGGCCTGCGGGCCTTCCCTGGCCCTGCTTGTCTCTGCGCCGGCTCTTCTTGCCGGCCTTCTGTGCGCCACACATGCTGCATGGGGCTGGGGTCGCTCCGGTCTGTCAGTGCCTCGGTCCATCCGGCTCCTGGCGGCGTACTCCCAATGGCCCCTGGCCGCCACCGGGCCCTCCTCTCACACCAAGCAGCCCCCGGGCATTGACTTAGCGGATCGGGGCCGCAGGCCTGCAGCCCGGCCGGCCTGTCCCTGCACGCTGTGTGCAGGAGCAATGGCTCACCCGCTCACACCTCTGTCCCTGTGGCCAGACCCCGCCGGAGCCGGGGTGGGAGACGCTGGCAGCCCCCCTTAGAGGCTGGTGCACAGGGCTCCGTCCCTCTGCCTGGGAGAGCGGTGAGTGCTGGCCAAAGGAAACTGCACCCCGCCGACACTGGGGTGGTTAGTGGGAGAAGGTGAAGGGGGAGGACTTGGTACGACAGTGGACCTTCGACTGTCTGTCGCTGCATGCCACCAAGGGGCAGGCTGCCTTTGAAGTGCTCCGTGTGGCCTCCGGAGAAATCCAGTGAATATTTAATGTCTTAGGAGGGAAGCCGAGAAGCTCCAGGATCCCACTTAACCTACTTCCTGCCTCTCTGGAGAACAGGCAGGCAGGGGGGTGTCCCCTTGGGTTGTGGGGTCCCAGCGCAAACCAGTGCCCCCCCCGCCCCAAGCAGGAGCGACTGAGCTGGGAAGCAGCTTTCAGCTCTTTCAGGAGAGAAGCAGGCAACATCTGATTGCACCCCGCAGACCCTCCCCCTTTTGGGAGGGGGATTGGGAAAGTTTAGCCACAATCGCCACCCTGTTCTATTTTCCTTTTGTTCTTCTCATCTCGTATTTAAAGCAACCACCTCCCACTACCAGCTGCTGTCTTCAATCCTTGGAAAGGCCCGGGGTGGGGGAGTGGGGGGTGGGAAGAGCACGCTTAGGAGGCAGGAGAGCTGAATTCGTATTAATAATATTCCCAAACTACCGGGGGCGCCTGGGTGGCTCAGTCGTTAGGTGTCTGCCTTCGGCTCAGGTCATGATCTCAGGGTCCTGGGATCGAGCCACACATTGGGCTCCCTGCTCCGCGGGAAGCCTGCTTCTCCCTCTCCCACTCCCCCTGCTTGTGTTCCCT